CAATCTTCCTATCTCAGTCTCTGGAGTAGCTGGGACTACAGGCATGTGCCACCATGCCCAGCTAATGTAGATCAGTTTTATTTATTTTTTTCTTTTAAAAAAAGCTAGTTAAGTGAAGCAGTGGGAGTGGAGAACGAACAAAGGAATCTATAATTGGTTGCGATCAATTAGTTGTAAACACCACTGCACTCTGAGCATAGCTCAGTTTTTTATACAAATACTGCATGGGCCAAATAAAATGCTTTTTGTTTGGACAAATTAATTATGTATTCACAAAACAAAATGAAAAAAGAGAAGAGATTTGGTTAATTTCTGTGGCTCTGCCTTACTTTTTAAGCCATGGACATGTAGTAAACATGAAAATTTGTTGTAGCTCTTTCAAGTATAGATTCTTTTTTCCTGGAGCTTGCCCAACCACTTTTCTCATCAGATTTTCCCTAATTTGAACTTTTAATGGTGATAAAGGAAAATTATAATGGGGCTAGTAGCACAAAATTATTTAACATAATTTGCTATTTTGAATGCTATGCACAGGTGAAAAAACACAGCAGTTATTTTGTTGATGCCAACCCACTATTATTGAAATTACGTATGTTATTAGAACTATGTTTTAAAATTATGGTTAAATTGCAGTAGTAAAGCTCTAAGTATGATCACTACCTTATCTAGTGTCACTGTGAAATGCGATCTTGAGCAGTTTCTAATTGTGTTTTAGATTGTTAGAGACGGATAGTAAGTCTTTAAGATCTGTAAATGGGTCAAGAAGAAATAGTGGCTCCTCTCTTGTATCAAGTTCATCAGCCTCTAGCAACCTCAGCCACCTTGAGGAAGATTCCTGGATTCTTTGGGGAAGAATTGTTAATGAATGGGAAGATGTACGCAAAAAGAAGGAAAAGCAAGTTAAGGTATTTGTGTTCTTTATTGAAGTTCTTCTTATCTCAGAAGGCATCAGGCATTGATTTAATAGAGAATTAGAAAAACCCAAATTCTGGTAATTTCCAAACTGTATAATAAAGAGGTCTGCTTTATATGTTTTCATCTGTTTGTGTCCACAAAGGTTTTGATTTGTGTTATCGGTTGTTATAGAGGTTGCGATAATGTAGAAATACATAGCTGAAAATTGTTTTAGAAATTAAATTCTCTCATTCTATAGATTCAGAAATGAAGTTATGATATTCTACATTCTTGAATTATCAGTATTTTACTTTTTTGCCTTCAATAGCCCTTTGAAATATAATAGGGTACTGTGTCATCATTCATAGCTCTCTGCAAGTTTTCAAGTCTTTAATACCTTTGGTGGCCACACTCTGAGAAAAATAACCAGAATTTATCTATGGCATTGTAAATCCCCAACCAGTACAAATACACCAAAGAGCCAAATCTTAGCCTTGGTTAAATGGTTCCCTGATCTTATAAAACTAGCTTCATGAATTATAAATTTGATAAAGTCTTCTACTTCATTCTGATCCCCAATAAATCTTCTTTGGCTTGTAAGGTAGGGGACTTGAATAATTCATTTTTAAAATTTTATTTTATTTTTATTTTTAGGAACTTGTTCGTAAAGGGATACCCCACCATTTCAGAGCAATAGTTTGGCAACTTTTATGCAGTGCACAAAGTATGCCAATTAAGGATCAGTATTCAGAACTCCTGAAAATGACCTCACCTTGTGAAAAATTGATCCGAAGGGACATTGCTAGAACTTATCCTGAACACAATTTTTTTAAGGAAAAAGATAGCCTTGGACAGGAAGTTTTATTTAATGTAATGAAGGTAAGTTTTATTTATTCATTTTTCTGAAACAAAATGAATTCTCAGAAGGTTGAAATTATACATTTTTCATGATGAAGCATGAACTCCTATCACAATAATCAGTTGCTTTGACAATAAAATTGGTTTTAGCATAATTTTTGCCTTAATTCTGATGCTACGTTACGCTGTAGTTTGAAGAACTTGTTAGAAAATTTATCACATTATTCAGCATTAGTTGATAGAAATGAAATAACCGATAAGTCACATACCATAGAGAGATTCCCTATGAAAATGGATAATTTACCATCTGGGAGGTTCAAAACCTGGGATGTGGATTTCTCCTATCATGGCTGCATTCATACACTCAGCAGATTTTTCTGCTTGGTGTGGCCAGTGTTAAGAGTGATTAGGCCTTGAAAGGTTTACCATTATAATTTTTTCTTCCCATAGTTTCTTTTCTTCTAGCTACCTCTGTGAAGTAGTGATTTCTTGTTAAGTCATTTCAGTTTTACCAATCCTTGCTTTAACTCTACTCTAGTTGTATCTCTATTAGTTATAAATTTTACTTGATTTTTAAGCCCTACTATCTTCCTAAGTACAAATTCCTCAACTATTTTTGTCCTTAGGAGCTGCCAATTTCTAATTGGAAATTGTCAGAAGAAAATTTTATGTAATAAAACATTTGCTTTTTAAATATTTATAGGATAATGTCGATAACAAGCAAGAAAGAGCTTTTCTAAATAATAAATGGTCTTTTAATCTACCTGTCTCACCAATTTTAGGCTTTTGGAGACAGAAGGTATAATTTACCATGTTGAAGTATTTTGAACAACATTTTTTACTTTTTAGGCATATTCTTTAGTGGATCGTGAGGTCGGTTACTGTCAAGGAAGTGCTTTTATAGTTGGATTGTTGCTTATGCAGGTAAGTTAGTGCAAGTATTAAATGTTCAATTAACATATTTACTAAAGTTAGATTAGAGAATTTAAAAATCATCTTTGTTTTTATTCAGTATAAGTGGAGATTGAGTATTTTTCCCCAGACATAATTTGAATAGGAATATTTCGTTTGCCCTTTAAAAGATTGAAAATGTGACCTGGGCACGGTGGCTCACAGTTGTACTCCTAGCACTTTGGGAAGCTGGGGCGGGAGGATTGCTTGAGAGTAGGAGTTTGAGATCAGCCTCAGCAACATAGTGAGACCCTGTCTATATAAAAAATAGAAAAATTTTCTGGGCATGGTGGCGCATGCCTGCAGCCCCAGCTACTTGGGAGGCTGAGGCAGGAGGATTGCTTGAGCCCAGGAGTTTGATGTTACAGTGAACTCTGATGACGCTACTGCACTCTAACCTGGGCAATAGAGTGAGACTCTGTCTCAGAAAAAAACGAAAAAACAAAAAAAGATTAAAAGTATTGCAATAACAACATACAATAATCTCTTGCCACCAAATGAAATTTTAGCTTCTTGATATATACATTTGTACCATAATAGTCTACTGAAGCCTGTAACTACTGTATTTTTAAATCTTATTTGTCAACGTTTAATGAGTAGTAATCTTTTCTCAGCCAAGGAGGATATATGTGATTAAAGTGTTGGTATGAAAATCTTATTTATGTTGTACAACATCTTTGGAAATTTATACAGTAATTTTATTTGTTGTGGAGCTAAAATGTCAAATTACCCCAACTTGTTTTTTTAAATATCACCATTTAAAAAGAAGCCCTCCCCCAGTTCCCATATCAATGTTGTGAAAAAGGGGAGAGGGAATGAAACTTATTTTGATATATCCAGAAGAGAAGAAATTCTTGTGAGACAAAAAAGGGAAATTATAATCATGTACTGCATAATGATATTTTTGTCAACAATGCACGATATGTGTGACAGTGGGCCCATAAGATTATAATACCATATTTTTACTGTACTTTTTCTATGTTTAGATATGTTTAAATACACAAATAGTTGTCATTATGTTACAGTTGCCTACAATATTCAGTACAGTAACATGCTGTACAGGTTTGTAGCCTAGGAGCAATAGGCTACACCATATAGCCCAGGTGTGTGTAGTGGGCTACACCATCTAGGTCTGGGTAAGTACACTCTATGGTATTTGCACCGTGATGAAATTGCCTAAGGACATGTATCTTGCTAACACCCCCTGGCCTCTTTCTTCCAGTGCTTTGGGAGAGAAAACAACTACCCTGTGGGGAGACCCAGGTGTCAGTGTTGAAATATTCTTAGGAGAGAGCCAGATTTAAGAACATTTGGGAAAGAGATTGAGGATATAGGTAGAATATCTTTTTGGTGGCAGGATATGGGTTCCAGAAAGTTCTGTGGAAAGATTTAGGTAAGATTGGCAATGGGGTCGGATTAGGGGAACAGTAGAACAATAGGATGAGAGTTTTGGGATCTTGGGCTTCTTGTAGTGAGTGGCATAAGTCAGTGAGGCTGTAGGGCTTGATGGGAGTAATAGGGATGGGCTCCAAGGCAAAACTGTGGCAATGTGTGTTGGGAGGAAGGAAGAAGTGCAGTTTTTGCCAAAAAACTCTTGGCTTCTGTCCATGACTGTCAAGGCCAATAAAACTGTATTGTTATTGGCAACATTCTTCAGTGAGAAGTATGCCTGGAGATCCTTGGAGTGTTCTCGTTTGAAACACACTGTTAAAATGTGAGTGAATGAGAATTAGCAAATTTTATTATTTTGAGAAAAATGGCTAAACAATTTGGATATTATTTCCCTAAATATTCTGAATATCTTTGTAGCTTTTTACAGAGCTTTCATATTCATTATTTTATTTTCTATAAATTTCCTAGTCATTTACACATAAAATGTGAAATGGGTACCTTTAAATGCCAACTTCAGATAATATGAATATAAATTTTACAAGTTCTTTTAACACTTAGGCCATATCGTATCACTTTTGCTCAGAATCCTTGGAAAGCTTCCCATTTCACTTAAGGTAGAAGTCAAAATCCTTACAGTGGCCTATAAAGCCCTGTGTATTTTGGTTCCCTGTTATTTCTCCTCCGTAACCTAACCTTCACTCATAACATTACTTCTAATTTAGTAGTTGTCTGTTTGCTGTTCCTTGAGCATACAAACATGATTCCATCTTAGCACCTTTGTATTCTTCTGTCTTTCAGAACTGTTCTTTCCTTAGATGCTCCTTTACTTTCTTCAGGATTCTGCTCAAATGTTACCTTATCAAGGGACCTTCCCTGATCCACATAAATAGCAGTGTATCTCCTCAGCATTCCCTATTACCATACTTTATTTTATTTCTAGAGCACTCATGACCATCTGACATATATTAGTTGATTTATTCCATGTATTGTCTATCTCCCCTGACTAAAAAGTTCTAGCTCTGTGAGAGTAGAGATTGTGTTTATTTTGTTCGCTAGTATATCCCTAGAGAGAGAAAAGTATCTGGCTATAAGTCAGTATTTGTTGATTGAATTAATTGATTAGGCAAATTGAGACAGTTCATCTCAGAGGTTGTAAGGTATGTCTAACTTCTCATTCTTGGTGATAGAATAGGAGACTAGAACATCCTGATAGTCCATTGCTCTTAACATTGCACCATATGGTCACTCAAAACGGCATTTATGGTTGAATGGGCACTTGTTTTAAATACAATTTGGTTTATTCGTGTATCACAGAACATTAACCTATGTTGCTTTTTTCTTCTAATGTAGATGCCAGAAGAAGAAGCTTTTTGTGTATTTGTTAAATTAATGCAGGATTATAGACTTCGTGAACTTTTTAAACCAAGCATGGCAGAGTTGGGCCTTTGTATGTACCAGTTTGAATGCATGATACAGGTAAAAGTGCAGTGTTGATAAAAAGGCATATTGCCTTCGTATGTTTTGTCATCTTGTTCTGAGTGATAACTAAGCAGACTTCATATTGAAAGCATTAAAGCAATTGAAGAAATCAGTGTGTTAATCATATGATCATTTTTTGGTTGGTTAACACAATTAGACCTATTTCCAAATTAGGCACTGTCTATAGGTAAATCTCAATCTGGAGCTTGACTGCAATTTTCATATTCAAACTGTAAGCGTTTGTGCCAAATGTATTATAAACACATTACCTAAGTACATGAGTTTCCTTATTATGTTCTCTTACATCCTATTATTATGTAGTCTAAGCTCTCTTACAGGAACTTTATGATATGAATGGATGCCAGTCCATTAATTAATACTTTGAAACGTCTTTTCAGTTTTTTTTCAATCCTCTCACCTGCCTCTCCATTTTTATCTCACTTTCTGGCTAGCCTATAATCTTTTTTTTCTTTTTATGTTTTCTTCATTTTGTGTTGCTAGTTTAAGACTCAAATTGTCTGGTGACTGCATGAGGGTGGAGAGAGGAGGAGTGGAATCAAAATCAAGTGAAAAATATCTTTGAAATATTTTACCTTTCTGGATGTAATTTTTGTATTTTATGTATATAAATAAGTTTAATGTAT